TTTAACAAACTGTATTTTTATAGTTGGCTTTCACTATCCGTTTCAAACGTCTTTCCATCCAATTGTTTTCTTATGTTTTCACATGCAGTTCATTTGACAAAYCAATAGAGTCACGTTTTATAATCTTTAACAAAMTATATWTCGATATTYATCGCTTTCAGCACCGGCCTTCACTATCTCCCATCAAACGTCACTTTTCATAGTAGTCTTGCTTCATGTCTGTTGCTTACATCATCAATAGAGTCAACATGCGCTTCTTAGAACAGCTCGTTCGGAAGATTACCTTTAACTCTAAATGACAGTCGCTTCCGTTGCAGTGAATGTCGTTCCCACACCGACAAGAATGATTTTTCATGCACTTCACACMTTTTATACTAATAGAACTTTATCTGATAGACTATAGCATTTCTTTCCTTAGTCACAGCCGCATTAATATAACGTAATTCTTCATGCACTGATTTTAACGAAAGTACCGAGAAACAAGGCGCGAAGTTAAACGTTAAATTCTAGCATTTCCCTCCCAACGAAACAAGAAGTTATAAATAATATTACGAAATATTCGTAACTGAGTTTACCTCCAGTGTCGTGGAGTGAAATAATCTTTTTGGTAATACGAATAAAAATGGTGCGTCCAGACGATGTGATGTTGTTGCAGCCCAAACGCAACCGAAAATGAAGACCGACGCGCGAAGGCGGGAATGCAGGTGTCGCTAGAATTGTCTGTCCTTTGCATTGGACGCGACAGGAATCAGTTTCATAACCCGAACTCGGAACAATCACGCTTTTCAAAGTTCATTTTTCTCAGGGTTTTGTAAGACTTTGAATGAGCTATTGTATTTTAGTTACAATACAGACCACAAGTACAGCCAACATCTTGCAGCAAAATCATAAACAATTCGATTTTTYTGAAAAAAATATTTCATACATGGAAAGCTAAGCTAATAAAAATTATCAATAGATTCCAGTCTTATGCGGCTGCGTGTTTGAAAATTAGAGAGAGAAAAAGAAAAGCCCGAAAGACGATATGAAACTGGATGGGACAGCCGTTAGTCTGGCCGGCATCACTGACTCCCGCTAGGAAAAAGTTCATTAAGATTATTCGAGAAAATTTATTGACTTGTGAATTATATWTTACAGTAAAAAGCCCTTAAAAAATTGATACTAACATCTGGGCCCGATTGTACGAAGCCTGGATAGCGCTATCCGACGGATAAATCTTATCCAGTGGATAATTTTTTTGGACAGCAACAGCAACATCGACATCGTACAACCGGGCCCTGATCACTAGTTTGTACATTTTACGATTATTCGGAAAGGAAGAGAAAGTGGTTAAGCCCATGAGAAAAACGGTTAGTTATAGTTCTTAAGCGAATCTACCAACCTTTACTGCGATGTACCGGCGATTGTCTACAGTTAACTACTACACTTCTCGATTGAACGAACCCCTCGATTTTGTGCAGTTGTTCCTCATCAAGGGAATTAGTCYCGGATTAGACCATTAACATATTTATTTAATATTCAAACATGAACAGTCCTTTCTGGACTTCCGAAAAGGGATCTCAGATTGTCTTCWATACGTTCTGAGCTTAATCAATAAAAAAACACACGATTTCAAATTCATTAAATTTTGACAGTTCGAACCCAATAAAATAAATATCTCATTTTCACATTTCAGTTATACATAACTTTAATAACAACCATCTTACTAAAACAATTGTAGTTTCTCGAGTATAGATTTATAATCATTATTTTCAAGTTCACCTGTTTGAACAAGTTTCGATTAAAGTAGAAGAAAATCTTACAGCCGGTAGCCGGTTATTGCTTACTAAGAAGTTTACATACGTTATTGACCCAGGCTACCAAGACGTCAGAATGGCATTGAATAAGTACACCGTTGCTAGGTAACCAAAACCTTGATGGAAAAAGTTTTTTAGAAGGTTTGTCTTAAAAAGACCTCATTCGATATATTTTTCTATGAAGAGTCGGATTGTGTTTGC